TCTCTCAGTCAGTGTCTCTCAGTCAGTGTCTCTCAGTCAGTCAGTGTCTCTCAGTCTCTCTCAGTCAGTGTCTCTCAGTCAGTGTCTCTCAGTCTCTCTCAGTCAGTGTCTCTCAGTCTCTCTCAGTCAGTGTCTCTCAGTCAGTGTCTCTCAGTCTCTCTCAGTCAGTGTCTCTCAGTCAGTGTCTCTCAGTCAGTGTCTCTCAGTGTCTCTCAGTCAGTGTCTCTCAGAGAGATATTTACGTGCACAGAAACTTCAGCGTTGTCCCGCTACTTATCAATAAAATAGTTTAAGACTGAAAAGCTACATGACACTTCTCAGTAGCATCGCTGTTTTAGAAATAATCACTGCTTATATTGACTTAGGATATAGCCTATTTATTGTTAAATCTGATTGCTTACAAAAAAAGGCTATGAATTCATACAATGATCAACTGTCTCAGGTATGGCACACTGGACGCAAAATCTTAAAACATGATGTCTTCTATTTCACTATTTGCTGGGCAACTCTGTGAAAAGCGCCCTGAAAGCATAGTCTATACGTTCGCTGAAATGACCGTAATCATAGTAATACGCGCACACCATATTATCGCGTCTGGCTTGGCCAAATAAATGGGAAAATAAATAAGTGGAGCGGCAAGATTTTGAACAGCCTGCAATGGTGCCTCGGCGCGTCAAATGTACGACCATCTTTAAGCTTTGCTATTGTTGGAGGCACTTGATTGAAAGGTATATTAAAATAAAGTGTACTGCAGGTACCATTCTTGAATGTCTGTGGAGGCCACTTGTAGGAGTCTGGAGATTCCTGTGTGGCCATGTGACTGATGACTCTGGTATGTATCTAATGGAATTCCAAAATATTATTTCAATGTATAAGGCTAACATAGAATGCTTTACAGATCAGTTAATTGCAGTGTTTGTTCTTGTTATTCAAAAGCTTAAGAAACACAATGAAAACATGTAGCCAAAGTAAATTCTATATACATGTCTTACCAGAAATAAAACTTTCAGAAGAGGAAACAGAACCAGTGTCTTCCATCACCAGTGCCCCTAGCTCTGTCCATCCATGGTTTGAGAGTTATAGAGAAGATGATGGAGTTAATGTGGAGGGGTGAATACATGACTATTGCTTCATGTGTTGTTATTATTATGGTTCTTTGGTTGGTTGCTCATGGACTCCCCGCCTCTTTCCCCACCTGTGCATATATTAGAAGCACATGCCTTCACTTAATGGAACAGCTCTCCGGGAATCTGAAGAACCAGACATTCCCAAAAGGGCCAGACTGTAAAAACTGCAGTGGGCATTTGCCTCCAGTTCATTTGTTACACTGGAAATGGAAAATTGAGTCAAGTACATGGTACTGTAACTTTGTACTGTAACTTCTGTACTGTAACTTTGATTATTCAAACTTGATGAGAATTATTTTTTATTGGAAAGGAGTGTCTAAATCCCTTTACAATTTTAAATGACAGATTGTCACTTTTAGCCCAATGCATGGTCTGTTATAGAGAACAAAAAAAAAAACATTGAGCCTCAGCAATGTGCAAAAAATCTGGGCAATGGTGATGTATTTTTGTAGGCCACCCCAGAAGTTCACATCGCCCTGGTTCCCTTGACAAAAACCCAATGGGATTTTTCCATTGACTTTTGGATTATTGCAGAAAATATGTTTTGTGACCAACTAAAGTTTAAGATTCTTACATGTTTTGTTCATCATGATAATCTTCACAAATGAAGCCTTCTGAAGCCTAAATGCAATGAGCAGAAGTAAAAAGCTAAACGTAGGCTAAATGAACTAAACTGTGGTCACATGCCTTCAACACCACCATCATGAAGCTCCTGACAACTCCTTTAGTGTTTATTTTAAAGACATTTTCCCTGACAATTTGAGTTTGAATAGTTTGCATGAGAGTGAATATAAAAA